CACCCTCCCGCCCCCTTCATCCTGTCCTGAAAGCCCCTCAATGTATTAAGGTCAATTGAAGTGACACAGAAAATACCTTCACTTCCGGGATGAATCTTGCTCCCAATAAAACACCCGTCCAATAACACTGAGTGCACTGCCTATCCTTTTACTGCCTGATCACTTTGTGAGCTATTAAATGAACAGTGCTACATTTCTCAAAATCCTCTCTTGCTGAAAGTCAGACATGAAGACGGGTGTCAGGTAAATGTGTCCAGTACAAAGACATGTTAGCCTAGCTTAGCAAATGACTGGAAGCAGGGGATAACTGCTAGCCTAGCGCCACTAAAAGGTTCAAATGTAACTTTTGTTATGTTATCCACCATGCTATCACCAGCCCCGTCTGTAATCGGCTAATCACATTTAAAGTAAAAATAAATTCTTTAAAAAAAAGATTTGATTCGGGTCAAGTAATCGAGGGAGAAATGAATCTCATTAATAAGGACATGATCAGAGACTTTATAAATAATGCTCTCCCTCATTTATGAATTTCCAACTGGTAAGGAATAGATTAATTAGACCAGTGAGTTAAGGCTAAAAACCTAAATAATTCATATTTTCCATTCATAATTTTCAGTGAGGGGAGAATTACTTAAATATCCAAACACCTAATAAATGGATCACGATGAAATGTGGTCTGCCTCCGGATGAATTGTTATAACTTTACTCTATAATAACTCATTAGCCATTGAGAGTGTAAACATTATACCGGTTAAACATCAGAATGTTAGCATCACTATTGTATGCATGTTATGTTATGCAAACATATCATGTAGCTAAAAAACACTGATGAGTGTTGAAGGGTTTTAGGGTGTACTTACTCCTTAAATACTGTCTTACGTATATTTTTATACTTGTGTTTATTAAAGTCCCCCTAAACTATTATATGACATAATGTTTTGCTGATATTTTCTTAAACCTGTTTAGTTTTTCAAAAATGTTTGTCAAACATAAATTAATGAACTTTAAATTGACCTGACTTCACGGAAAATGTGATAAAGGTAGATATTTAAAATATATTTTAAGATGTTGCCAGGTTAAAGTTTGCCCCAACTTCTAGTCTTTGTGCTAAGCTAGGCTAAACAGATCTTGGACTTTATGTAACGTTAGTGATATTTTATATGTGTAGGTGTGTTTGTTTTACTCACCAGCCTTCCCGATCTGCACAGCTAGTTTGGTCAGTTTGCCCTGCAGCACCGATTTCTCCTTCTTGGTCACGTTGACCTTCTTCACTGGTTTCACCTCCTCTTTCTCCTCTGACTCGGTGGCCTCCTCGCTCTTCAGAGGCTGGATCTCCAGGGCGATGCCGTCCTGGGTTTTGGCTGTGAGGAGGAGGAGGGGTGGGGGGGAAAGTTGGTGGTTTGGAGGTAAAAGGAGGAGGAGGAGGAGGAGGAGGAGGAGGAGGAGGAGGAGAAAGGTGGGACCATGATGGAAAGTAAAAAGAGATGAAAGAGGTTTAAGAAGTGTTTTGACACGAAGAGGTGAAAAATGAAGGACAAGGAAATGAGGGATGGAGGGATATTTTAAGGAGGCAGATGTTTTTTTAAATAAAGATGAGGTCAAAAATGGTAGCAGAGGAAAAGGGGAGGAATTTAGAACGGGTTGACAAAAGGTAAATTAATCAAATGAATAATAATAAATTACAAAAAGGAGGATGGAGCAGAATTGGGGATGAAGGGTAGAGAAGCAGAGAAAACATTAAAGATTCAGTTGGAAGGAAAGCTGAATATGACACACACAACATTCTCAGAAAATACTTTGAAATCTTCATCAACGAGTTGACCCTTTTACTGAATGCAGAGAGTCACATATCGTCTATTTATGATCACAACACATTCATGAAAAAGGTCCAAGTAGCTTTCAGAGACACGCAGCGGTTCATAATGAGGAGCAGCAGACAGAACAGAGAACAGCAGGAAACACACACACACACACACACACACACACACACACACACAACACACACACACACACACACACACACACACACACACACACACACACACACACACACACACACACACACACACACACACACACACACACACACACACACACAGGGTCTGGAACGAGGCTCGGTTAAGGAGTCTGCTTTTACGTCCTTGCTCCTCATTTGCATAAACAAACGGTGTATTTGCATTTCACTTCATCAGCTGGGATCTGTTTGGACTGTAGTACTGTAACGTGGAGCTTTCTGATCTGTTTGATGTCTGCTCAAGAGCTTACACTGAATTCAGCTGCACTCCCTCCACCCCCTGCCGTTTGTCATATTTCCATACCAAAGAAACGTGAGTTGGTGATTAATGTAAACAGAGCAGTTGTGCACTTATCTGAGTTTTGATGTTCTGTTTGTCCTCATGAACAACTGAGCTGACAACACCGGGAGGATTTATTAGCTTTAAATATTGAAAGTGTTCTGATCCATCAGCTAACTGTATTTATCCCTGTTGGAGAGCCACTGCTGGCAACACTGTCAACATCACTTCTGGAACCAACAATACCAACAGATCATGGACATAAAGCAGATCTAGATTCCTGGATGACCAGAGAGACCTTTTCAAAAGAAGAAGAAACAGGTGTTTGATGCTTAATATTATTTTTTATAAAAAAGTGATGAGGCAAACGTCTGTTAGAGAACCTGTTCCTATTTTATTATCTACTACTCCCTACAAATAACACTTTTTTTTAATAAAAATTACAAAAATATAAAAAAATGTAATAATAATATTAAGTGTATATAACAAAAATAATTATAATAAAACTGATTACAACAATTATTACTTATATTCATATTATTAATGTCTAGTCCTCTTAGGTGCCATTTCTTCAGTGCGTTTTCAACCGTTTGATTGGACCTCATGCAGGAAGAAGTCGTTAAAAGTGTTTTTAGAGCACTTGTTACATTCAAGGATTTAGCTTGTTGTATGATTAATGTACAGATACATAGATATTGGAGGAATATTATTGTGCTGTCTGGTTTATAGTGTGAAGGTGGGAATGCAGAGAGGCTTACCAAGGGGAAATCTATGCTGAGTTTTATGTACATTATATATTTTATGGGGAAGATGTTTTTATTCTTCCTTTATTTTGAAGAAGTAGTTATTAGCTATTGCAGAATTGGAAACCAATACCAAGTGATCTTTTATTTACTCTTGGGTGACATTCTTATAAAAACAAAACCCAACAACTCGCAGTTACTTTCAATCAAGTTGAAGATGTTTTTGTTTACTGCTTACTTTTATTAAATAAAATAATAAGTCATTTTTACACAGCTCTGTAACTTTTATTCTTGTGTTTAACACCTTCCTGTCTTTTTCATTTGAACTTGTTTTATTTTGGTGCATTTCTTTTGGCCTTCGATTGATGTACTTTGGCTTGCCGGAAATGTGGTATGTAAAAAGACTTGTTTGAACAATTGTGCAAGAAAACCTGAAAAGGTTTTAGAATATGAACAATGTTCTTGAGTGGGGCTCCAAGTCTGTAAAAGACAAATCTACTTTGATAACCAATACTTCCTCTTACATGGAGCTGGGGGAAATAAAACAAAACCAGGTAATGTGTTTTTTTTAAGTGATATTTACCCAAAAACGTTTTCACTGTCATTTTAACTGCCTCTCTCAGAAGTCCCTGCACTGTATTTTGCTAATAGGGAAGTCCTTTCATTGCAGCATGACCTCCACATGACATTTAAACACTCTGAATGTGGGGATGAGTCGGTGTCAAACCAGGAAGCTGTGGAGCTTTATGCACATGGTCCACTCTGAAGACAAGCCACAACATAGAATCAACTGACACAGCTTCACATGAACAGGACTGAGACCCACTGACCAACCACAGAACTGTAAACAGGCGCAGCACTGAACCATGGGAGAGTGCATGGCGGGCAGCGGGGAGGGGGGTGTATCTGACAACCAAAATAAATAAATAAAAGAAAGCAAGTCAACCAAACAGAAGACAAAAGATCACCCCAGAAAACGGAAAACGACAGCGATGCAGAACCACGACAGAGATTGACAGGAGGAGGAAGAGGAGGCTGCAGAGCTGTGGAGGCTGCAGGAGGCTTCAGCAAGACAGAAAAAATAACCGAGAGGAGGGAGAGAGTCAAACAGTGATTACAAGACAACATGGAGTCCTGAGCAACACCCTGCAAGGAGGCAACAGTGAAAGAAAAGAAACTGAGGAACACAAACAGACCAGACGACAGCCCACAGCCCACTAACACTGCAAGGGTGCAACTCCCACACACACACCGACAGGCTCGCTTCAGCCAGAACACATCACGGCACTGTTGTTTTTTCCTGAGCAGTGTCAACAGAATTCAGTGGATACATGTGAGGAAATGTGCGATGGGAAAACATTTGAAATCCTCTTATTTACGAAAAGGGTGTTGCGAAACTCAACACCTCTTGCACAGATGTTTTCACATTAAAAGCCTTCCAGCAGCTCAAAAGGACAAATCCCCCTTGTTTTGGTGGGCTTATAATGTGAAACATCTGCAGGAAGTTTGATGAATGCTTATTTAACAGTAATAGTTGGCAAGGTAGAGGTTATTGAGGGAATGAAAGCAGTATCAGCGTGGGGACTGTTGTCATACTGATGGGATTTATTTTAAAAGGTTTCCCTGTTGCCTGATCTGCTCCACTTTAATTTGTTATTGATCAATCACATGTGCACAATAAGAGTCATTTCACCACTCTGCCTCTCCAATTATTTGTCAGCACTGAAACTGTTTTCATTAAGTCATTTTTTTCTCAGTTGCTTCAATTTTGGTATAACTTCTGTTTGTTTACTACCAGTACAGCTGTTTCAAAAGCCAGAATTTCCCCTAGATATTCAACAATTAGCTGATTTATCAATCAGCCCATCTACTATTATATTTCAGGTTTGTTACAGGATCTCATTCAAGGGGATTTGTTCTATTTGAGTTAAGTGATATTTGAGTTTGTTTCCCAGATCTTTTAGATATGAAATTGGGCTTTAGGGAACTGAAATGGAAATATTATTCATCGATCACCTGTAGGAAGTTGCGTAACAGTTATCGAAAAAAAGCAGCAGTCATTGTTTTTTCCGACACTAGGGAGCAGACGAAAGCTAATCATAATCTGACAAATACACTATCCTGACATATTGTAAAATACAAAACACAGCCTCGTTCTACATCCAGTGAAGCAGAAGCATCATCATCCCACTGGAGCTGTGTGAAACCAAAACTAGGAGCTTAAAGAATGAGTTCGATAGAGTGGTGAAGTGATGACGTATGTATCTAGGCAACCCAGAAATTAGCTTCGTAAGGGCTCCCTCGACAAACGGCGTGGGATTTTTCCATTGGACTTTGGAATATTGCACATAATAAGATCTGTAGCTAACAAACGTTTATGCTACTTAGCAGGATAATCTTCACATATCAACACCACTCTATAAAGAGTAAATATCGGCAGAAGTAAAAAGCTTACGTGAGAGTATAAACAAACGACACCACAGTCCCATGGCTATTTGTCACAACCGTTAAGCTAAAGGCGCATAATGTTCTGCGTGATGATGTTTGGTAGTCTGATTTAATCACTTCTTAGCCACCGCATCTGCTCATTTTTAGATTCATAGAACATCATGAATAGAAGCCTCACTATTTTACTGACATATGTTGTGTTGTAAATTAAACTATTACGTTTCCCTTTATAGGTTAAATCAAATAAATAAAAACATTAAATATTACATTTTTTGAAAAGCCTCCGCTGTAAAAGGCATCCTCGCAAAGCTGAAAGAAACTCATTAAAAGTTGAACTGTAAGAGGTATTTAATTCTCACAGGTATGTACCACTATGAATATATGACGATCTCATTGAGTAGGATTCATAGCTGTACATTAAACTACTCAACGGTATATAAAGGAGATCAAATTAACGTTAAGTTACAAAGTTGTGTATCTGACTTGATGCATTTCTGCAGATTTTGATCTTAATGTGTTTTAGTGGAGGTCATTCTTGATTGCAGGTCTGAAAAATATTAAATATTGTTAAATATAAATAGTATGTAAAAGTGTGAGGAGCATCCACGTGCCAGAAGTGTGTGTGTGTGTGTGTGTGTGTGTGTGTGTGTGTGTGTGTGTGTGTGTGCGTGTGTGTGCGTGTGTGTACATCAAGTAGCATTCTGGTCGCAGCAGATGCTCAAACCATGGGAGGTCGGGAGGTAGGAGCTGTGTGAGCGTGTGTGTGGAGTGTATTGGGGTGTGTTCGAGTGTGTGTGTATATGTGTGTGTGGAGACAGCTTGCAGAGGAAGTCGGACATGTGTTGGATCACACGGGACATTGAGGACGGTTGGCTGTTTTGAGTTGGGAAGTTGGCACAAAGACGTCATCAACACAAACACAGCCATAAACCCGGAAACATTAAATATGGAGGGAAGCACCGAGGGAGCGCTTGAGTCCAACACTGCGTCACCCAAAAAGGAGACAGAGGTCAAACTAACATGTTAGACCTCTGGTAGAGTTTATATTTGTGTCTCAATTCTTAGAGCGGGATAGGACATTTGAGTATTTGCAAGCACATACAGTACCGTTATTTTTTAGAAATATATATATGTATTAAAGAACAATTTCTCTGTGAACAAAAGGACTCAATTAGTATGTGTTGATTTAATGTAAGCTAATAACTCACACCCATTTGATCTCAAAACAAGATAAGTTATTTATTTTTACCTTTATTCAATCTTTTTATTTTTAGTATAGTTATCTTGTTAGGTCGTCAGCTATCGTCTGCCAGATTAGCAGTAGGTAAATAAACTAGTTTTCAACCGGGTACATCGAAGAAAAATAAATGTAGCACACAAAAGTTTTTTAAATGGAAAACATCAAATTAGCCAAGCCTAAATAGCTAGCTAGCTTAATTAGCTATTTGGCTCATTCTTTTTTTTTTTTTTTAATATATTTTCTTTATTCTTTGAGCCAATGGTAACACTAGTCCATATATGAAATGAGCACAACACTTTTTTTTCAGGATCATATCTCTATGAAATAAATATAATGTGATTGCAAGAACTCTTTCTTGTGCTTAAAATGTCCAGACACTCTCAAAAATGATGGCACAAATACAACTCTATACTGTATTAACCCCACTATCACAGATCACCATGACAACTGTAGATGCTGTGATTGGCTGTCAAAGACTGAAGGTTGAGAGTTGCACCCTTAAACAGGTAAAGCAAGGCGAGAGAACGTCCCCCTTTATATAGCAGAGAGAGAGAGAGACATGGACTGGACACTCCCCTCCTGCCGCTGGGTGGAGGGGAGGTGAGGAGGGGGTGAGTAATAGGGAGGATGGAGGGACAGAGAGGGACAGATGGATGAATGGAGGGGTTACCTTTGTTGCGATTTTCAGAGGGTCCTTGTTTTTTACCTGTTCGGACAGAGAGAGAGGGCGGAATGCTGATAAAATGGCTCAAAAGAAAAATAAGATCAAAACAAACTGAGGGAGAACACAAAATTCAAACTGATAGAAACCCACATGTGTGTGTGTGTGTCGTGTGTGTTGTAGGCAGGAATGGACCAATCAGAGGAGAGAGACGCACCGCTTCCTGTTGCGGAGAACCAACAGTGTTTGACAAAAGAGCTAATAAAACCAAGACCTCTGTTATCAAAATAAATACGAATTTGATTCAGTTGAATTTCAAACACTTATGTATTCAACAAATATACATTATCGGTATGATCAATTTCAATAATAGTCAGTATAATGTTCTGATATTTGAATGGAGACATGTCAGTGGAAGAATAATCCTCTTAGCACTTTTAGTATGAACACCACTTAGTCACTTACAGACTTTATGATGCATAATGGTTGTGTACTGTGTGTGAACTGTGTAGTGCTGTGTATGGTGAGTGCTGTCTTATATGCCGGTGCCAAAGACACATTTCACACTTACACTTATTATCAGTCGCTTTGGATAAAAGCGTCAACTAAATGAAATGTGATTTCCATTTTATGCAAATGTTTTGGACACCAAAGTGATCTGAATTTGAATGATTTCCCACAATGTACATCGGTTTGGCTACATTGTTGAGGGTACATGCTCCTTTTTGTCATTTGTCATTCACCTACATAACTAATGTATACACTACTTTTTTACTGTTTGGCATTATTTAAATTGTAAGACAATTATCGTTTGTAGGATACTTATACTTTCAACAATCATCTGGTTTCTTGAATGCAATTGATCAACTCAATTCTTTTTGGGACCATACATACCCTCAGGAGATGAGTTGTTCACATCATTTATCATGTATCTTTTTTGACAACATCATTGATTTCAGTGTGTCTGGTTCAAAGTTGTCCCTTTTTATCTCTTATTTAATTTCCCGATGTGTCGATACTGCATGTCTGAAAATCTGAGCTGTTTTCTTTTTAATGATGTACATTTCATGTATGTGTTATTTCATTACAGCGTTGGTAAAATAAATACAAGTCATCCTCTCAATTGGATGGTGATGTGAGGAAGAGGTTGTGGTTTCTAAATAATTATTAAGGACAAACCTACAAGTTCTTTCAAACAATGTGTGCACTGGTTGTGTTGAGTTTTTTTTGAGTGATGGATGTGGCTTACTTCCTTCACTGCAGATATATAAACTCTGATATTATGTTCCTTGTGGATCTTATCATCTATTATTGGTTTTTGTCATGTTTTGATAAGATGTGTAAAAGAAGCAGGTCAGGGGTGTGTTTCCTCCCTTAGGGACATTCACTTCCTGTTGCCCTAATATGGAGCTATTTGCTTTTATGATGAAAGGAGTTGTTAGCAAGGTCAAAGCCAACATGAACACACACACACACACACACACACACACACACACACACACACACACACACACACACACACACACACACACACACACACTGAAACAGCTCTTTGATATTCAGACCGTGATGTGTGATTGATGACAGGAGCTAAACTGCCGCAAGTGTGTGATTGTGTGTCTATGTTTGCACATACTGGAGGCTCTTACTCTAAGATATAACCAATGGGTGTGACTTTACTTGTATGCATGAATGTGTGTGTATATGTGTGTTTTTTAACGTCTATTTGTGTGTGTTCATGGTTGATGCAGCCATGTGTGACGGTCAAGTCTGCTGTGTCGGCTGGTACCTCAAGAGACATACAACAGCATAATGTGTGTGCATTCTTGTACTCCTATCTTTGTGATTACGGATTAAAAAAGTCAGTTCAGAGAAGTTTTTAGCCATTCTTCAGTTTTCCAAGGGGCTTTTTGAAGGTTTCAGGTCTGGTTTAGGATTATAATTATAATAAGATTAGATATTAAGGTTACAGTTAGGGGCTCAGAAATGTATTATGAAAATCAGGGTCCTCTTAAGTGAGGAAGAACAGACGTGTGTGTGTGATTCTGATGAAAATGCTCTTTTCTTCTGCTCATTTTCAGTTTAATTTCAGTTGTCTGAAATCGGTCTTCTGGTTCTCCTCATTAGGAATTCATTAAAGGTTGTTTATATTTAAATGAATGACTGGAGGCCGAAATGTAAACCTGAGCGTCTCTCTCTGCTGAGCTTGTACATTCAGCCAGTTCACAATGAATGCCTGACAAACTCAAACTTTAGCCAATAAAACAAATGATCAGACAAAAAACAAACTAAAGAAAAAAAGACATGAGTAAAAGGGGGTTAGCATGATCACGAGCAAATCAAAAGCAATAGAGACCGACTGCAGAAGCCTGTTGGTTTACATCAACCTGCTCTGTGATAGTACAAGGCTCATCTGCACTTTTTGAAGGGTTCCACTTCAAAAAGCAACTGTATGTAAAGAGAGAAGGTACGTTTCACGTTTCTTAACCAGCATCACGTCCCTGTCGAATCAATACCTCAGTATTTCGGCAATAAACTACCATGAATAAATGAGACCACGATGTGCAGTAGTGTTTATCAGACTACCGACACAGAATTTTGTATTACGGTCTGTGTGGAAACATATTTTTTATTTGTCTGTCTATGATTTAAAAGTATTAACTCTTTATATCAGACAGAAGATAACAAGTCTCCATTATCTACCAATTTGTTGACATTACAAAATGGCTGGCATATTTTACAAGCTTTTATTACTCTACCTAAAATGTGTAGTTTGAGTCTAGTAGGACTTTCTTATGGTTTTCTTGTTTAAAAAACCAGATGGAAACATGTCAAAGACTCCTAAATAAGCATTATATGGTCACAAACATAGTTTTCAGATTACTCCTCATGTAATTTAGCATATCTTTCCAATTTCGGCTTTCAGGTATAGCCTTGATCACAACTGTAGGTAATGAGCCACTTAGCCAGGCATGCTAAATATATCAGCTGACTGCTAATTGATTGCACTGCCCTATAAACCATTCAGATGCCATGTACACAGGTTCAACGGGTGCAGAAATCCAAACAATGACATGCCTGCTGTGCCTTGTTTAAGTTGCTCAGCTACGATAGGACAATTTAAGGGACAGGTGTTTAGTTAACCGTCAATCAAGCTTTCTGTTGTAAACATCTTATGTGAATTGTTTGTAGTAAGCAGATAAGATCACTACATATGAACTCACCCATGGTCTCATTTATTCACTGATGATGCTTTTGTGATCAGATGTAATGTTAAAATATTATAGTTAGACCCTTCAAACAGCTCTGCTGGGATCAGCTCAGACTGGATGACCTCTACCTGCAGACGGCTAGTACGACAGGAGCAACTTCAAATCAACACCAGCTGATAAAAGCGTGCAAATATTTCCAATCTGCATTGTTCAAACAGTAGAGTAGAAATATTCAGAAGCTGACACGATGGTAGTTGTCTTTCTTTCCTCCCAAAACTTCATACACTTTGTGTCTCGTATGACCTTAAGCACTTCCACATGAGTTGTGTTTTTTTGTGTGCGACAGGCTTTGTCTCATGTCTTACTTTTCTTGACCTTCTTCACTTCTTCGTTGTCGCCGGCGCACAGCAGGGTAAAGATGATGCCAGTTTGAGAGTTGAGGCCGACAGCCGACACCACCATCCTGCCTGATCCCTCCATTACATGGGTCCCTGAGGAGACATTCAAAAAGCTGGGGTCACAACTGGAACTTTTCTTTGTAACTGTCTCCGCGTAATATCTGTAATCTGTGTTATACTTTGCTAATGTAACAAACTCAGGGTCGCCACAGATCAATCTGAGGGCCAGCACTTCTTAATTTGATGCATGTATGAGGATGCTGATGATACACAGCTAAATGTGGATGATTCTTCTGATGACACAGAATTAATTGTTGCTCCTTTTAGATATAAATGTTCATCTGTAAATGTTACAAACATTTGAAAGTTCAACAAGGATGATCAAGAAGTGTTTTGCTTTTCCTGAGGCTCAGATTTGTTTTGGATTTCATACTTTTGACGTGTGACAAACAGTTTTGACAGTTTGAAGATGTTACTGAACAGACATATTACACAGTCAATTATACTCTAGGTCAGCAACTCCTTGATACAAAAAAATTAACTCAATGTCTGAGTGTCCCATATTTTAACACCAAAAATGGTCCATAAATTGGACAGAGGCTTCATAATGGAGACGCAAACATCTATCTAAATGCCAAAGATAAGCATTCATGTACATATGTTGAGTGTTTGTCCTCTTTCCCTTAGCCTATTAGATATCGAATAACCACAACATCTGAGTTTACTGGACCTACTCTTGCTTTTTTGTTTGTGCACCGAGACAATAAGTGAATTTGCTCTTAAATTAAATGTAACAACAGTGTTAACAGCTATAATATGTTTTTTTTGGCCTCATAAATATTGGTCCCGGAAATTGTTTTACTTTTCATATTTGATATTTTTCCTTTTAGCAGTTGCCTGTGCTCTGTATTGCATTAACTTGTATTAAGGTGCTAAAAAACCATTAACGGCAACAGCTGGTGCAGTGTGAAATGGAACAAATGCATTTTGATTGATGTTGAGTGATATCCGTTTACATTGGATGAGTTTATTTAAAAGGTGTAGTATCAGTAGACACTTAAAGAAGAATCATCAGTGTGAGCAGGCACTCACCGGACAGCAGCATGGGGTCCTTCTCCATAGATTTTCGGACCTGATCGGACTCTCCGGTGAGAGAGCTCTCGTCAATCTTCAAGTCGTTGCCTTGGATGAGGATCCCGTCAGCAGGCAGCAGGTCTCCTGCAGGCACAGAGATAAGGAGTTCAATTTCATTCATTTCTTAAAATCAGCTGGAGGGGAAACACATTTTTGTGACTCAAGACTTAAAGACATTTTGAATCCGTCTTAAATTTGGAAGGCAGATAGGCAGCTTTGATTTATTTTCTGCCTGGTGTTTGCTGTCTCGTACCGTATTTGATCTGAGCGATGTCTCCCACCACGATCTCGGACACAGGGATCTGGATGACCTGGCCCTTGCGGATAACGGTGAATTTTTGTTCCTGCTCGATGCGACTCTGCAAACCGCGGAACTGCTTCTCCTTGGACCAATCGTTGAAAGCCGTCACAAGGACCACAATAGCGACGGAGAACAAGATGGCGGCGCCCTCGATCCAGCCAGCCTGAGCCTCGCCCTCGTCCTCCACGCCGCCTGCAACCTGGCCACATGCTGCGAGAGGAAGAGGAAGCGTTCAATACAAATAGCTTTCACAAAAAACGTTTTGATAATCGAAAAATAAAGAAAATGCTACAATATTTTTTATTCAATCCTAGGCTAATTGTAACCGGTCTTATAAACATTATTTGTTTTGTATCTTTTTTTTTACATCTGTGTTGGTGTAGCTAGGATTGTGTCAATACTGATATCCTAATTATATCGTGAATAGGAGAATAGATAAATAAAATAAATAAAATAAATGTGAATAGATATAAAATGTAATCTAAAAGCTGAAAATAAGACAAAAACAACGATTGAATTTATCAAATAACTCCAAAAAGTCCCAAAATAGATAGAAAAATGTAAGTAAATTAATATATAAAATTGCTGTAAATTACAAAGGGATTGTTAAAAAAAAGTGCAGAATAAAATAAAATAAAAACACTCGTAAATAAATAGCCATCATGCGCTTTAATTGTAGAATTAAATATAGATTATAAAACAAATGGCGATGACTGTACCGACCTTCGCTGTCGCCCCCTGGTGGATGGTAGAAGGACAGGCCGAGCGAGATTATGGCGGCGATCTCCAGAATAATGAGCGTGACGTCCTGCAGAGCCTCCCACACCAGTGCCAGGAACGTCTTGGCCTTCTTGGGAGGGATGAAGTTCTTCCCGAAGGAAGTGTGACGTTTCTCCAAATCAACGGGGTTACCAGAGAGACCTGCAGACACAAAGACAACACATTCATGATCACATCAATGATACATTTCCTCTTTTAAATATTAGGATTTATATGGGTTATGGTTATTATTGTGTGCATTCGTGGTTGTTGAGGTTCTTTCAACATTATTGTATGTTTTTATTATATATAGGATTTGTGGGAAATAGCAAATCCAGTTTCATTTATTTATTAATAATACAAAATAACTGTAGTTTGTACTTGCTGAGCTACGAAGAACGCAAACATTTAGGTCATATCATAAAAAAAAAAACTTGAAAAAAAGATAGGATGATAAATAAAAAATGTTTTGAATTCAAAGAAATATAGATATGTATGTGAATATAGAAATATTTAGAGATAAACGTTGGATTCATTAAGCATTAAGTATGTGTTATACAGTCAATCTCCCAGTCAAGTACTTGTAATGTAGCGTTCAATAAAGCTTTTAGTTGTACCATTGCATCCAGTGAGAACCTCCCATCCTAAGTCTTTATTGGAGGCGTGATACCTCTCTGCACACTGTAGCTGTGCGCCTCCACGCAGTGAAGGCAGAAGATGCACAGAAGTTATGAAAAGATTATTACAGGCTTCTATAAGCAGAACTTTTGCAACATGACCTACTTCTGTTGCCATGAAAGACTGCGGTATTTCCATATACAGTGTTTATTTGGGCGGAAAACCAACACAGATTTGTTCCACCCACAGAAATTATGTATTTCTGTATTCATTATATTTCCTCCTACTTCCATGGAGATTCAGTAAAAAAGTAAATACCGAGAAATTATGGTTTCAGGTGTTTAAACAAAAAAACACCTGTCTGTTGTATCAAGCAACGATTCTCCTTTTTTAAACTGGTGAATTGTGATAATTTTAGGAGGCTTGGCAACCTGAAACAATCCAGTAATTCACAAGAAAAAGGTAAAGAAATATCAGAAAAAAAGATTGAACGATTCATATTTATTTTATTGAAATTTAAATATGGAATAGTGTAGTAACCAAATTGCATTTAACAATATTTTTTAACAGCATAATACAATTCTAAATTAAGTATTAAGCTGAGATGCTCTGGCCTACAAATAATATTCTGAAGATACCCAATCAAACTAATCACAAATAGATTTATTTTCCAAAATGGCCTAGCCCTAACCAGAGGGTACGTTTTCTGTAGGTTCCCCTTCCTGTCAATCATCCTTCGACCCCTCCGGGTTTATCAAGTGGCCCCTTGTGTGGGCCTCGACCCCCAGGCTGAGAACCACTGTTGTGTGTCGTCAGTGGTGGCGATGCGTTCATGGCAGCCTGAACTGCCTCCACCCCGCCCCGCCCTGCTGGACACACAATCTGCTGCTCCACCAGAGCCAACACTCTACGTCACACCATGGTCTGAACAAATAACAAAGAACATGTCCTGAAGAAACTTCTCTAAATATCACAGGATTTTCTCCACTGATTGATAATACCGGATAACTCAAAATTCTGTCTGATGTTTCTCTTCCTGCCCCTCTGCAGAAAGCAACGCTCTGCTCCCTGAAGACCAAACAGTATCTGTGAGTTATTGAATCCAAAGCCATGACTGTCATTTTCCAGCGGTGAGTCATATCTAACCGCTCGTTACTGTGCATACAAAGAAGATAAAAACAAAGATCTCACAGTCGCCCCGGATGTTACAAAGGGAGCAGAGCGAGAGAGAGGGCTTTGTCTGGGGAACTTCTAAGTTTAGTTATATCATTGACAAATCTGATCTTAAAACAGTTTATTTATTATCAGAATCTTAATCAGGTTTATTGCCAAGTACTTGTGCAGCGTGTATTTATCTTGTGTTCATCTGTTTATCACTCTCTACTAGAAGAGGATATGCTCATCAGCAAAGCACCTCATTAACTTCAGTAAAGAGTTTATTTGCAGCAACTCTTCGTATGTAGTCGGAATGAACCAGTTGACCTGATGCGCTGCTTTTTTTTTTTAAATAACTGTGACTTCCCCTGCACAGCTGTGTGGGCCACAACATGGCTGCCGTGGATTCTTTGAGGACTCGGGGAGATGTGCAGTGGAACGTGATTTGAATGTCGACTAGACCGCACTGCCAGGATTTCTCTGTATGTCAGCGTGAACATGTTCCTGCCTTCATGAGTTTGAATAATAATGGCCTCTAGTTTCTTCTCTGGTGATTCTCTCCAGACAGACTACAGGAAGACTTCCTCTGTTCCTCTTTTCAACCTATTACCCTTTATTCCTTTGATGCATTATTCAGGAGAAATAATCAGATACCAGCTTCAAGCCATTTTAAGTATTATGCAACACAGGTACTATTTTCCTCATCTAAATTAGATGGCTTCAATGCCATAATTATTAAGCTTAGATATTCTCATGCATAATTACAGCCATTTAAGTCCAATAATGACACTTGTTGTACAGCAACATTACACTCTATATATTTGCTTTAAAGGGGGCCTATAATGCTCATTTACATGTTCATAATTGTATTTGTTGCCTCCAAGTAATGTCTTGGAACCTATATAACACACTACAGGACAGGGGAAACCCCTTAAAGCATAATAGTGGTCCTTTTCTACAATTATTTTGCGTGTGGTATGCTGCCCCAACCCAGAGATGCTACATGTGTCCCTGCTGTGGATCAACACTTTTGCACATTTGGGGCAAATAACAATTCCAGTTTGTTTTCATCTTTGTCAATAGCATCAGGGAAATGTTCTGCAAATATCAGACTCTCCTTGCTTCTGCTTTGTACTTGAATCACCTGCTTTAATGTCCTTTATTAACCACATTGGTGAAATCCATCCATCGTGTTCAATCCTGGGCCAACAGCTCATTTGATGACTGCTCGTTCCCAAATGGAGTAAAGTTAAAAGCACCTGCTGCTGCAAGTTTGTCCCAATACATTTTGGATTATGGTTTTATCAAATAAGGCGAGATAAAAGGAGGTGAAGCGATGGAATTAAATGAGATGAGGTAATTTTTGGTGACACGGGATGAAAGAAGTTAAAAGCTACAGTAACACGATACCATAATACGACTTTCAGTGTACAGTATGAATAAATAGTTAATATATATATAAATGATATGCATGTCTATCTGAGCGACAGTAGAGCTTCTCTGTGGTTCAGAGCAACAGCAGAAACATGACAAGGTGTACAAACTGTTTTTAAAAATACGCCGCTTGTCAAAGTCATCATCATCATCCATCTTTCATCACTCTGTGGTTCAGTTCAAAGTTTGGTTTCATCATTTTAGAGCCAGTGATTGATGCTGAAAGCTGCTGTCACACTCAAATAAAGAAGAAGTGACCCTCAGAGCACCTTTATGGGCTGTTTGATCGATATGAGTCTGCTTTTTTTCTGGTTTAGTGCTGCGAATGCGGCGGCGGGTTTCGTCTGCTGAGCGTCCCCGTGGAGATGCAGATTAAAGCTCCGAGATGATGTTCCAGAAACGGCAGAGCACACTCGCCTGTCACAGATGTTTATGAGCTTCAGCAGCAGCACAAATGGACTTCATTGGTCCAAAACGAAGTCTCTTCCAATTCACAGCTTTATCAGCCCACGTGCAGCTTCAATCCTTTCCCATACAGCACCATTCATTCTCCCTCTGCAGCAGGGATTCATGTCCAACCTCATTGTTCTATACGTTTGAAGCCCACTACAAAGTAGGGCTTTGTAATATGGAGGGACTTATATATCATACATTTTTGGACAGGATACATCGATATGTTGACGAAATTGTAGCATGACCATTTCATGCTTTCACAAAGAGCAATAGGGAAATAACAGAACTGTCTGCTCAATTCATAACATGTAATTACTAGGGCCGGGACTTTAACACGTTAATTAAGATTAATTAATTACACAAAAATTAACGCATTTTAATCGCACTTATTTTTGCACCGCGGAACGTTTCTCACTGGATGAGTTTCAGGGGTACCGATTATACTGGAGCACCAACTAACGCTCATGACTTCAAACAACAACAAACCACAGTGAACAATAGTCAAACATGAACGAACAAGCTGATGAGACCGCTTTGGTTGGCCCCGTGGATGGGACATTTTGTTTTAAAAAACGGACGGATGGAAGCATCGATAAGAGCACGGTTGTTTGCAAATTATGCAAAAAGGAATTTGCGTATCACCGCAGCACATCAAGCCTCAAGTATCACCTCAATGCAAAACCTATAGCAGCTAGCGTGGAAGCTAGCGTGGACGTTAGCCCGACTCGGAGTACAAGGACCCACACCCAATTCGCGTTGATCAAACAGTGGCCTATGGAACAGAGAGATTTCATTTTTCATCAGGATATTGGAAGAATAGGAGGGATTGAGGTCAATCACTGGCACTTTTTTATTTTATTTTAAATGGTACAGTACACTTTATGTTGAACTATTTATTATGTTGTTGGTGCAACTGGCACTTTATGTTGAACTGTTTATTGTTTTGGCCAAGGTTATTGAGAGAGTTGGACTGAAATTGATTAGATTTTTTAAATCAACTGTTGGTAAATCAACAAAGTCTGTTATGGCCTCTGAAGCAACAGAGAGATGTTTTCTAATAGTCAGGGTTTCCAATGTTCTGAATGTACTTGAAAGTATTGTGTTATACTTAAAAAACAAAGTGTTATAGTTTACAGAAGGTCTACCTACCTATAGGCTACCTGAATCTCTGAAATGTACTATATTCCTAAATATGCTATTGCT